AACTCATTTTATGAGATTATTTGGTATTATTACATGATACTAAAACTGAACAAGCAGTACAATAGGAGGCAGAAAAAAACATAGGCCACTCTCTCACTGATGCAAAAATTCTATGAAAATATTAGCAGACCGAATGGAACAATTTATTTTTAAAAATCACAATCAAATAGGTTTTATTCCAGAAATGCATAGATGTTTTAACATTAGAAAATGTTAAATGTAATTTATTTATTGACATTTTAGGCCAGATAATTCTTTGCTGTGAGGGTTGTCCTGTGTATTATACAATTGCTTTTTTTTTCTAGCTTTATTGAGGTATAATTGACAAATAAAAATTGTATATACATGGCATATGACATGATGCTTTGATATAAGTATATACTGTGAAATGATTACCACAATCAAGCTAATTAATGTATCCGTTAACCTCACATAGCTACTTTTGTGTGTGTGTGTGCGTGTGGTTAGTGAGAACATTTAAGATCTACACTCAGCAAATTTCAAGTATACAATACGGTTTTATTAACTATAGTCACCATGCTGTACATTAGATCTCCAGAACTTAGTCATCCTGCATAACTGAAACTTTGTACCCTTTGACCTGCATCTCCCCATTTCCCCCACCACCCAAGTCCCTGGAAACCACCATTCTACTCTGTTTCTATGAATTTAACTTTTTTAGATTCCACATTGTGTTAGCCTGTTTGGGCCACTATAACAAAATCTTAATACTACAGACTGGGTAGCTTATAAACAACAGAAATTTATGTCTTACAGTCCTAGAGGCTGGAAAGTCTGAGATCTAGGACCCAGCAGATTCAGTGTCTGGTGAAGGCCCATTTTTTGGTTTACAGATAAGGTTGCCTTCTTGCTGTGCCCTTCTAGGGCAGTCTTCAGGTAGCCTTGGACCCCCTCAGTTCTCTACCCTTTCCAGCTTACAGTTTTCAAGAGTAACTATAGAATGTGCTGGGAATACAACACCCTATGTTAAGGAGAAATTGGCCGGAACACCCTGGACTCTGTTCCAGTCCCTCCTAGAAACAGGGTGTGCTTCAATGCTTTAGCCCAGTGATTCCTGCCACCCTTGGGTATAAAACCCACAGTGGGGTGCTTTCTGGAATCTCTCAGCTGACATGCAAGTGGGCATGTGCAGATGAGGCTCTCTATCTGCTCTAGGTAGCTTTCCTGAGCCTTGGGGAATTGGCTTGCAATGAATCCTAGGCTTTGGTTGTTCCTTGCTGCCTGTCTGTAAGTAATAAATTCACTTCATGTAACTTGCTATGTGTATGAATGTAACCAGTGAACAATGAACCTGCTTCACAGTCCTCAAACGGTGGAAGGGATTAGCTAGCTCTCTTTTATAAGGGTACTAATACCAATCATGAGAGCTTCACCCTTATGACCGAATCACCTCCCAAAGCCCCACCTCCTAATACCACCACCTTGGGGTTATTTCAGTATATGAGTTTTGGGGAAACACAAACTTTCAGACCACAGCACACACAGAAGTGAGATCATGAGTTATTTGTCGTTGTATGCCTGGCTTATTTCACTTAGCATAATCCATCAGGTTTACCCATGTTGTCACAAATGACAGAATTTCCTTCATTTTTAAGGCTAAAGAGTATTCCATTGTGTGTGCGTGTGTGTGTGCATCAAATTTTCTTTGTCCATTCATCTGTTGATGGATACTTAGTTTGATTCCTTATCTTGGCTATCATAAATAATGCTGCAATGAGCATGAGAGTGTAAACATCTCCTCAAGATACTGGCCTCTATCCAGGTGTGACAACCGAAAGTGTCTCCAGATGTTACCAAAATGAAAGTGCCTCCAGTTGAGAACCACTGATGTAGAGGCTGGAAAACTGGTGTCATGTATCGTTTCCACACTTACTGGAATACGAGTCAGTTGTACAGGCCTCAGAAACACAGACCAAACTGCTACATTTTGCTCCAAATAATATCATCCCTTAAATATAGTTTTTACTTATCTTAGAATTCAACAGTGCTATTTACCAATAAGACAATAATAAATCCACTTTATTATTTCTATGTAAAAATGACATGTACTGCACAGGATAGTGGTTATAGATTCATTTAAATCTTGAGTATGAATTATACAAGGACGATTTTTTGGCAACTTTTATTTCAATGTAATTTTTAACTTATAGAAAATTTGCAAGAAGACTATAAGGAACTCTTGCATATCATATATTATCTACCCAGATTTAACAACTGCTTACATTTGTCCCACTTGCTTTATTACTTTCTCATTAAATATATAGATATTTTTCTGAACCATTTAAGAACTGAAGACATCATGCCTCTTTACCACTAAGCACTTAGTGAATATTTCCTAAGAACAAAGACATTCTTTACATAATCACAGTATAAGTGTCAAAGTTGAGAAATTTAACATTGATGCAATAGTATTATCTAATGCAGTTTATATTTAAATTCACCAATTATCTCAATAATGTCCTTTGGAGTTATTTCTTCCCCAGTCCAGATTCTAATCCAAGATTCTGCATTGCATTTAGCCATTTTAACTCTTTAGTCTCTTTCAATCTGGAACGGTTTTGCCTTCACGTTTATTTATTTGCTGTTTCCTCATAATTAGATTCAGGTTATGTGTTTTTGACAGGAATACCACAGAAATGATGCTGTGTCCTTTTCAGTGCATATATTAGAAGGTACATGATATCAGTCTGTCACAATATTGGTAACATTTACTTTGATCACTTGGTTAAAGTGGTATCCACCAGGTCTCTCCTTTATAAAGTTACTAGTTCTTTGTAATTAATAAGTAATTTGTGGGGACATACTTTAAAGCTATGTAAATAGCCTATTCAAACTTTTGTTGGCTATTTTGACATCAGTGATGATTTGTCTAACTCCATTATTCCTTCTATATACAGTAGCTGGCATTCTACTGTAAAAATTGCTTCCCCTTTGCCCCCATTTATGCTTACCAGTAGGGATTCGGTGACTCTCATTTTATTCTATGGAATATATATTTATTTTAATGTTCAAACTGTCCCAAATTTGGCCAGAGGGAGCTCCTTCAAGCTAGCTTGTACACATAAAAAAATTTCTAATTCCAAAATATTATTATCCTGTCACCTACCATAATTCTGGGATGCCTTCCCCTGGGTTCAAATATTCTTTCCTCAGAGAATGCATCATGAGTTTATACGAAACAACTATAAACATAATTAGTAAAGTAAATCTTCTGGAAAAAATCTAAGTTATTTTGGGGTTATATGCTATTTTGAGATCTACTTTATTAATATAGATATTAAGAGGCAAATTTAAATTAAAAATCTGACTCATTTAATGTGCATTATTACGATAGAAAAGGTAACCCAAAGTAATTCTGATAGTCAATCCAGAGTTTGAATTATAAAAGACAACGGTTTTCATTTTTGGCATTAAAGTTCATTTGTATCTAAAGTACCAAAGACTATTCAAGTTGCAAAGAGGGTACCAAGAAATTTGACTGATATACACTTATCCAGAAATGAAAAGGTGTGGAAGGCTCTTTCTATAGGTATTTCTCAACTTACATACAAATAACCACTGTCAAATGTTCATCTGTAATTCCAATCTCAATCCGATATTCCACAGAATGTTATAAATATAAATCACGGAATGTTAATACTGCCATAGAGGACCTTGAAGATGATATTATTAACCCCCTTATTAAAAAAAAAATAGGCCCAGAGAGGTAGCTGTTACAGAAACAGTTACCGGAAAATTTAGAATTTTATTTTCAATATTTCAAGACAAGAACCATTTTAAGCATGCCCCTTACAATGGTGAGATTAACAAATCAGTCTACAAAAAAAAGCTATTTAGCCAACAGTGGCTTAGTAAACTAAACATAATTTAGAATAAACCAAACTTAGTGGCTGAAACATTTAGCATTGAACGATAGTACTGCAGGAATCATTATTAACGTAGCCCAAAAGTTACACTGAAAAGAAGTTTTTTTTAATAATGCATTTTGGACTAGATTAACTGGAACATGATGGGAAGTTCCATCAATCTTTCTGTTGGGATTCCTAAAGAAAACTTATAGGCTCTCTAGAGACTTATGGCCCTGGTTCTTTAATATGTATAACTTTATCACAGAACTTAGGATTGTCCTTTTCCACGACAAGCATGTACCATCGATATGATTCAAACTTATCAGGCATAATTAAGGTTGTTTGGGGCCTCTCCATTAACTGCTAACTCTTTATATTTAAATTAAGATTTGTAAATCTTCCCTGAAAATACTACAAGAGACATTTTCTGTATTTGAGATGATACAGCACTTGAGGCTGCTAAATTTTATTTTCTTGAAACAGAAGATTTTTTTATACAATTTCATAATTTTCCCTCATTTGTTTCATAAAATCTCAACTTCTCAAGGATGTTTCCTTTAAAATAAAATTTAAATAGCTGGTTTTATAGGTAGAAACCATCCATGACACTCGGGCCTCCTCCATCTTTACCTGTCTGGTGTGATCAATTCCTGGATCTCCTGTGATCTGAGGCCTTTTCCTGTTCTCCTTCCTGTCTTCCTCCTCTAATTATATTTGAGGCTGAAAACAGGAGAATTAACTCTCTCATGACTCTGTTGATGTTTCTCCTCTTAAAATAGGTAGTGCTTCAAGTAGGAAGTGGATTCTCTGATATAAACCTCAAGAACTGTCTTAGAGTTAACTAACTCAAAGAAGCTATCATTGAGCTATTTTAAATCTTCACTTGAATAGAACAGAATTTCCATATATAGTAACCACTGGATGAGATATATTTCTTAAAGGCAACATAGAGCACAGAAAGAAAATGTTTTACTCACTTTAAAATTCAAAACACTAAATGAACCAGAGAGCTTTTTCTGTAGTTACAGGGTGTTATTTTTCAAAATCTATTGAAGTTAATTACTTTGTGAATCTTAGGATCAGAATTTTCCATGATAACTAATAAAATGGGTAAAGCAGCACTGTACATACCCTGAGTGGCTGTTGGAGGTAGTTTGAGGGTATTGTCTAACTTCTCCCAAAGGTAAGTTGGTCGAGGAATGCCTTCCTCTGAGCTACAGAGCAGGATGACATCGCTGCCAATATCCTGGGATCCTTGGATTTGGCAGTGTGGGGCAGAAGGGGGAACTATAACAGGAAGAGTAAGCAATAAAGTACACATTTACTGTAAGCCAAGTGATGATGGAGGAGACATCAACATTCAGTACACTGGAACCTCAGATAACATTGTTTTGGGGGGACATACCAGGAGACAAACTCATGGATGAAGCCAGAGAATAGTCATGTACTAATTCATAAGGATTGGGCAGAGATATAGGGCCTGCAACCTCAGCTGGCAGGGAACAAATAGGTAAACAGGGGCTACACCCTTAGATTACATTTTTAAGATATCTTATGATCTTATTTTCAATCTGCTTCCTCTAAAGAAGAATTCTTAAGATTCTTCATGTCAACATGTTGCCTTTAAAATCACTGCTGAAAGAGGCCACTTTTAGAGGAGATTTCAAGGAAAAGCAACACACTTACCCTGCCAGCTATTCTCTGACTAAGACCACCTTAACAAGATCCTTTGTTACTTTGCGAACAAAACCAGAGAGACCCACTTTATACCAAATGGTGGGGAAAACCAGAGTAAAGTCCAAGTAAGGGGGGTGGTTTATAGTAATGCAGTGAACATTTTATAATCATTAAGACACATAAGGACAAAAAGAACATGGAACAAAAATTACCAAAAAGAACACTAAAGGAAGGAAGTGCTGACGTGTAGTAAAAAGCAAGCAAATAAAAATATAAACTAAGCCCATGGCTTTAAGTCCTGTATTAGAGAATGTAGACAGTAGAGTTTAAGTCTAAATGATGATATATTTGTAATACTAATGACTTTTCAATAAATATGTTCACTGTTTCAGAAATGAATAAATGAATGAATGAAAAATGAATGCAGAGTGTATAGAGGAAGCAGGAGAGTGGGTGGAGGAAGAGAGAACAATGAAAGGTTATGGGTAGAAAAAGTAAAACTCTTAGAGAATCCTAACTGCTATTACTGGGTAAAACAATCTCCTCAATTTACTGCCTTTGACATTGCCACTGTGATGCTATGAAGGGAAAACCAAAATAAATCTTTGGAGGTAGCATTAATTATAAAATAAATTAAAGGCTTTTTTCTTCCTTTAAAAAAATGAAAAAATAAATAAGTTTGGGTAATGTTGGAAGCCAGTTACCTACCCTACAGGTATAAGCATCAGAATAATATTTAATTCCATTAGCACTCTGTAGTCAGCACTCAGAGTATTTTAAAATCTATACAACTTTTAATATATTACGATGAGTAAGATTTTGAGAATGAAATCACCAGCCTGGTCCTTAGTTTTCTTATTCTGTTTGAAGGCTTGAAGGAAAAGGCATCAAGGTTTATAGCACATTCTTGCCCAAAGGGGGAACATGGCAAGAACTCCCAAAGCAAAATAAATGTATTCTCAAGTGACTCAACAAGAGAAAGATAAAGAAAAGGTGGGAGAATCTGACGAGGACTAGGGGAGTAGATTCTGGGCCTTGGGTAGGATGAAGGAGAATCAAACGCATCGGCCTTCTCTAAGCACTTTCTCCATCTTCCCAAATGACTGAATTTACCCACCTCTACCACAAGGGTCCATTTAGAAAACAGTGTTTTATTTCAGAGACAGGAGAATTGGGAAATAAAACATGTTTAGAATGAATATAATTTAGTGTGAGATAGCCTAACAGCATGGTATAATGGAAAGAGTGCTGGTTTGAGTAAGGAAATCTAAATTTTAGTATAAATTTTCTTGTTGTTCATTGTCTATCTAACCTGGGAAAAGGCCTTGAATCTATTTGGTCTCAGTATCTGGTTGATAATATTATTTATTGTTTGTGCAAGGACATTTTTGAGAGTAAAAGGTGGTGTTATTAAAATTATGCCAGTACAACAGGTGCGAGCTGAGAACTGTGGTGATCTATTTAGTGTGACACAGAAATGAAGTAATAGTATTGTTCTCACACATGCTGAAACTTCTGCTTCATGTCATACTCACAATAAAAAAATTCTTGATTTTAATTTGCTCTCAACAGTAAGTTCTGTCCTATAGAAGCTTAAGAAAAGTGAGAGGCCATTTTTGATGGTATTTGATACCACTCTTCTACACCTTCAGAAACAATCATTGCAGAAGTAAGCCTTAGAGACCATGTGAAATGGGGAAAGGAGTGGGAAAGTATACGTAAGGAGCACAGAGAAGTGGAGTAGAGCTGGAACTGAGAGAAGACAACGGGAAGAGAACATGAGCCAACTTAGAGTGTGGAAGGAAGGACAGAAGTAAATATGCTTGATAGGAGATTCTTAAGTGAAGCCCAGGGTGCCTGGAACTCCTCTTTCACTGACCTAACACTGTGAGACCAGTGACCCCGATGTTCCTGCCCCCTCTGTCTGGGAGGTTGTTGACCAGACACTGGTAGGTGCCTGTATCTGACAGCTGAGTGTTATTAATGAAGATAGAGACATTGGTGGCTGGCATGGTGCCTGTAAATCCTACCCTACCATGGAACCGGGGGGCACCGTCAAACATCTGTCCACCCTGATACAGAATGACCTGCAAAAGAAAGCAAAATAAGTAAGTGGGCCACTGTATCCCCTCCTAGACACACAACAGTAACTACTGAGTAGACAATACTGAATGTTGCTACACTGAATGCCGGAAAATTTTATTTCTGATTTGAGAATTGTCACCAGCTTTTTAATATTGCCCTTATCCATAGGTATCTTCGGGTCCTAAATTCTCACTTAACAAATTAAAATATCATTTCTCCCTTACTTAACTCATCAGAACATAGAAAATGTCTTTAAAGCTACCCTACTATCAGCCTGTAAATATTTTACCAGCTCAAAAAATTAATTCCAAAATAAAAAGTTTTTAAAATATTAGCATTGCCATTCTCGGGCTTATCAGATCACCCAACGATAGATCATGGTTATAGACTGGCCATAAATATCATAAAAGGGAAGGAGAGTTATAAGTACATGACTGCTATTCGTATGTCAATTTCTATTGTCAAAGTTAACTCTTCTGGAGAGGACTCAGAATGGTGTAGCAAAAAGCCCTCTGGGCTGAGAATGAGAGACTTGGTTCTTTCTATTCAGGTTCTATCTGTTAATGTTTGGACAACTACAGTCAAGTTCTTTCTTTGCCTCTTTGACTCTATCCTTGACTCCTAAAATGATGAGGTTGAACAAAATGATCTTGAAGGCGCAATCTAACCACAAAAATTCCATGGTTTCAAGAAATAAAGGAAGCTTCTAGTGAATTTTATATCAGAAAATTTAGTTTATATTTTCAGGTAGTAATAAGTTTATTAAATCAGAAAAGCTTCATAAAAGATATGTTATCATTGTAAATAAAGGTGTAGCCATTATCACAATTCATTAGTTTCCTGAGGATTATTTTCTACAGTGGGAATTACAAATTATTGGTCTTTTTCCTGTAATTCATACAGCTTATTGGGGAGTAGCTTCCATTTTCATGTATATTCTTTCGTGTGCACATTCTAATTTATATGAGATTCTTCGAGGCTGGCTAGTACAGGCCTAGTTGTGTTTATTTTCAAATATTTGTAAAATCAGGTAAATAAACCAAGTATTACTATCTAATGTTACTTCCTTACTATTATCACTATCTTTTAAAAGTATACTCTCAACCACCTGTGTTAGTGCCAGTCCCTTCTGTCTTCTTTGCTTTTTCTGTCTTGGTATTTTCCTATCAGAATATTCTTGATAAAATTCCAGGTTCCTACATAAAACTCTTAGAAGGATTACCTTAGCACTTGTTAATATACTTTTTTTAAAAAAAAATTAGGCTTTTAAAAGAGGATAGTTGACTTGTGATAGTTGACTAATAATAATGCAGAGGGGTAGAACCTAAAACAGCATAGGCACACTGGAAATGCCACCTTAGTCTAGAAATCAAATGTACACTCAGGAGGCTTCCCTACCTGCCTCTTCTAAGAAGATTAATATTTTAGTGGTAGCACAGGATGGAAGACAAGTACCTGTTCAGGCTGGTTAGCATTGGCGAGAGGAATGACCATCCAAATGACATTGAGGTTAATGAGGGCAGCGCTGGTAGTGAAAGTGCAGGGCAGGACTGCTGTCTGGCCCCGGGCCACCTGGATACTCCCAGGGCTCTCTGACACTTCCAGGGATGCTGCAACACCTACAGAAGAAGGAACAGGGAGGTTATGTGCTCACCCTTCCCCAACAGTCCAAATCCCTTCAGAAAGGTTTTATGTGTTTTATGTTATCACATTATTCTTCATGTGAACAGACTGATATGACAGTCTTACGAAACAACTGCTGATCATTCACTGAATCAAAATAATAAAAATGGTTCACCTCTTTACCACTTGGAAACTACAACTGAAAAATATTAAACGCTATTTACTCTCTTTTGTAAGACACCATCTGTACTTGCCCAGATTCAAATAAACATGGGAGAATTCAACTGGTAGTATTTGAGCAAAACATGCAATGTTGATGAAAGATGAGAGATAAACTGAATTTTTAAAAGCATCATTATAATAGCACACCACAAAATTAAATTCTTATATATAAATCTAACAAAATATATGCAGCATCTATACACACACACACACACACACACACATACACATACATATAGAAAAGATAATCTACTTTTATAATGGGCAAAAGATTTTAATAAACCTTTCAAGAAGGGCTCATAAGCACATGGAAAGATTCTCAATGTCATTAATCAGTGGGGAAATACATATTAAAACCAAAGTAAGATATTACTATACATCCACTGGAATGGCTATAATCAAGACAAAACCAAACACTGATGAGAATGTAGAGAAACTGAAATCTCATACATTGCTGGTACGAACGTAAAATGGTATAGCCATTTCAGACAATAGCTTCAGTTTCTTAAAAGGTTAAACACAAACATACCATACAACTCAGCAATTCCATTTCCTAGGAATCTATCCAAGTAAAATGAAAATATATGTCCACACAAAGACTTGTCTATGAATGTTCATAGCAGCATTATTCATATCATGCCCCAAAAGGGGAATAACACAAATATTCATCAACTGGCCAATAGATAACAAAATGTGATACATCCATACAATGGAATACTCTTCAGAAATAAAAAGCATCAAACTACTGGTACATGTTACAGCATAGATGAGCCTCTCAAAAACATTTTGCTAAATGGAAAACGCCAGATGCAAAACACTGCATAATATATGATTCCGCATATATGAAACATCTAGAAAAGGCAAATCTATGGAGACAAGAAGCAGATTAGTGGCCACCTGGGGCTAAAGGGGAGAGAGTAGGGATTGTTGCACATAGGCTCAATGGGGCTTTTTAGGGTGATGGAAAGCTTCTAAAACTAGATTGTTGTGATGGTTATACAACTCTGTAAGTTCAGTAGAAATCACTGAATTTTATACCTTAAATGGGTGAATTTTGTGGAATATAAATTATACCTCAATAACACTGTTAAAATTCAAAAAAAGAAAACTGACTCATCAGAGCCAACTCCTGGGAAGTCAAAATAACTGTTATCTCTTCTGCAAAGAATGCCTGCCTCCCTGGGACTATGGAATAATACAGAAATAACAGGAGATCAAAACAGGTCAGGGAGACCCTACAAAGAAGCTATCCTAAATCATGAAAAATACATTAAGTCTATGGCAATACCTCAAACTGTTTTAAGTGATAGTATCTCAATTCTCCAAAAAAAGTAACACAATAACATACTGTTATGACTATAATTAGTTTAAAAAATAAACATACATTAACACCTTCCTTCTATAGAATTTTATGTTCTTCACATATAGTCTGATGATGTTTTTAGGAGTTTTTTGCAGAATAAAATGTTTCATAAAATAAGTCATCTGTGACAGAACATAAAGCACTTGATATCAGGAAAGTCTCTAAGTTAACATTAGGGAAAGGCTCTAAGTTTTACAAAGGGAGCTGGAAGAACCTCAGGTGTCAGAGGCAGAGAGGGAAGGTTATTTGATCACAGAGAGGCAATGAATAAAAGAATAAAGAGTATATTTGTTACAATGATATAATAAAGTTATGACAAAAGCCACTAGATGTTTTTAAGAATAACTGTGGAAGCCAAACCGGCGACAGAACCTCCATCTCTGCATTCTTCAGACCACTGCATTCTTCTGTAAGGCAGAAGTGAATATGACCCCTACACACCATACAAGATGACGGATACCGTCACCACCGAGTCACCGCTTTCAAGCTGAATGCATATAATCTTTGATAAAAATTTTTAAAAGAAAAGAAATGAACAATAAGAACCAAAAATGAAAGAGAAAGATGTAGATGGGAAAAACGACCACAACAGGGTAAGCAGAGGACAAGTAGCTGGGCAGCAGGGGTGGGAGCCAGGAGGAAACAGCAGGTCTGCTGGCACAGAGCAAGCCTCCGGGCAGCAGAGCTGTGAAAGACCACTTCATTTACTTCACATTTTTAGATGAAGTTAACCATGAAATCTCAAGTTTTGAGATAGCTGCAGAAGAAATACTCTAGATAAGCTGCCTTCAGAACTTGTAACAGTGTGGGCTTGAAGCTGGACAGATCTGGTTTGGAATCTGGCTCTTTCATGTACTTTGCTCTACGGCCCCAAACAAGTCACTTAATCTTTGACTTTGAATCTGTTGCTTTATCTACAAAACAGGGCTAAATACTATCATCACATCCATCAAAGGGGTATGATGAGGGCAGTACAGATGGAGGACTGTCACCATGACTGCTGTTGCTAGCTAACATTGGGGTACACTGGCCGTACACTGGCCACACCAAGCCACACTAAGCTCTCTCTCTCTACACACACACACACACACACACACACACACACAGAGCTTACAGTCACTTAATTCTATAAGGTGTCTACTGACACTATCTCCACTTTACAGAAGAAATTGAGGCCCAAGGAGAATTAAAACCAGCTCAGGGTCACACAGTCACAGCAAGGAAGTGGCAAGATCTGTATTCAAATGCAGGCAGTTTGTCTATAGAGAACATACACTTAACTACTACACATAACTCACAGAAATCATTCCACATATTTTCATTATTATTATCACTACCATATCATATGATCACAAAATATAAAACCAGAATAGAATTTTACATAAAGCCATTAGACACTCCTTCTACTTCCTGCTTCTAAATCTACAAATCTGTTTCAGTCTGCCTCACCCTCATCTCCCTCTCTCCTGTTAGATTAGAGGAGTTTATTATCTAAGACCAACCCCTTACGTGAGCTTTAAATTCCATCCGCTTGACTCCTTGAGTAACCTTATCACAGACTGCCTGCCCCCTCTCTTGTAGCTTCAGTCCCTCCCTCCGCATGGGAGACTTCCTGATACCATCTGAACATCCTCAAGTATTTCAACTTAAAACAATACTCCCACCTCCCTACACCCGACAGTCATTTCCAGAAACTGCTCTCTTGCACGCACACTCTCTCTCTCTCTCTCTCTCCTACTTCATGTTGATCTTTTTTGAAAGATGTGTCTGTCCTCACTCTCTCCACAGACTCTTCTCCCATTCAGTCTTCAATCCACTCCTGCCCCCACCACTTCTTAAAAATAGTTCTCCCTAGGCTTCCCGGAGACCTCCTTGTGGCCGCATGACACTTAGAATCACTCTTAGATTCTCAGTAGTGTCTAACAGAAATGACCTTTCCCCTCTCCTTGAAACACACCTTTCCCTTAGCTTCAGCGATATAATTCACTCCTGGTTTTCTTCCTATCTTTCTGCACACTTTTTCTCAATCTCTTTTGCTGTTTCAGCCCTTTCCATGTGGCTATTAAATGTTAGTATTTCTCAACGGGCTGCCTTGACTTCTTATTCTAAACTATCTTCCTATAGAATCTCATTTACTATCATGAATTCATTTCTCATATACATGTTAATGGCTTCCAAATATATATCTCTAATCCAAACTTCTCCTCTTAAATCCAAGTGCCTCTTGGACATCTCCATGTGGCTATCTCAAAGGTACCTCAAAAGTCTACTTGTCCAAGACCAACTATTCCCCTCCATGCCCTCCTCCCCTGTGTATTCTGGCTTCTTTCCGATGTTCCCTATGGTAGTGAATGGCTCAAACAAGACAAAGTTGAACAAGCCAGGAATTCAGAAATCTTCCTTAACTCCAATTTTCTGATCATCTCTGAAACCCAATCCATGATCAAATCTGATACATTTTACCAACTACATTTCTCTTGACTTCTTGAATCAGGGTCTTTGCTCTGCTCTCTGTCTTTCCTCTGCCTGGTTTGCTTTGTTCCAAACTCTAACCTCTTTACTTAGTAACTTACTCATCCTTCATATTAGCTCAAGTGTTACCTTCTCACAGAAAAGCCTTCCCTGACCTCTCAGTCTAGGTCAGGGTCTCACAAAGCAGTGTCAAGACACTATCCGAGCTTCTAATCATACCTTCATTAGTGTGATTATTTAATATATCTTCACCAGTATACCGTGAGCTCTAAGAAAGCACATAATAGGAACTAAATAAATACATGTTGTCAAATTGATCTAATCCAATTCCTTCAATTTCCACATGAAAATACCAGGGTCCAAAGACATAGGCTTGCCTAAAGTCTTAACATCTGGACCTGCATCTTCTGACTTCCAACAATGTATGTTTTCTGCCATACCAAACTCTACCACAGATCATGTCTCAGAAAACAAGTGATGAGGATACTATCACTTGTATTATGATTAGGGTGAAAGGATATTTCATCAAGGGGACTTATATTTAGCAATAAAAACTCTATTTGTAAATATATCTGCTCTACTCTAACACAGATACTGACATTTAACATAAAAAGGCTGTTTTACTCTTTAGCTACCAGATTTCTCTATGGAACAGGATTTTAAAAGAAAATCATCCAAGACTCTAAGATATTATGTATCAGATACCAAAGAGAGTTTTAAGACAGGCTACCCTGAAGAATTTGTGCAAAGAAGATAGCTGACAACTGGTTATATAACTTCAAGGACTACACAGAGAATAAATGTGTCAGGAGTGTAAGTTTGTAAAGAGGCTTTGTGGAAAGAATTGTTAAATTAGAGCTATGGTGCGCTGTAAGACCCACCCTGAAAAAGGGCCTCATTACCTAAATGTATTAGGGAAAAGAATGCCCAACAGATCAGATGTGAACATAC